TGAATGTAGGATATGCTTTTTTCTTTCAATTTAATCCAAAAAACTACAGCATGAAATGCAGCACTATCCAGAGACACACAACACTGTCTCTGAAGGATTCCTGGGATGCATTAATCAATGCTTGGACTGCCCAATTCACTACAGGACAGATATTCTGCACTGCACAGCAATTCACACATTTTGAATGGTAACAGTGCTAATAAGCTTTCCTGTGGGTTTTTAGTTTTTTTTTTTTCCATACCAGAAATTAGGTGCACTCCTGGATATCTAACAGCCTGGACCATAAGACAGTCCCTCTCCCACCCAGATAAGCTTTGCAGGCACCACTGATCTGAGACAGAAGTGTCTGGGCTGGTGGGCCATCAGATGTAGGTCTCTGCCCAGATTTCACATGATATTGATCCACAGCTGGATCAAATACATACAATGCCAATTTCCTTTGCAGCACAGGGTTTTTCTGAATAGGCACTGTGTAGTAGCCTGAAACCATGCAGGCCTCCAAAACAACAGTTTACACACTATATCTAAAATGTTTAATATAGCTTTGAGATTTTTTTCAACAGGACACCTTTGACTGCTTATAAGCAAATTAATTTCCGATCTGTTCTATTGTCTCTTTTTAATCTTATCCTCAAAATAAGCTTTCAGACACTAAAGCATCCAAATCAAAGAAAATGGGCCCAGGCATTGAAATGACTAATAGACCACCTAAAAAAATCTGGAAATCTTAATAAGTATACTACACACACTTTTTATTTCACCTTGAAGGGGAGGAAAAAAAAGGCTTTAATTCTGAAAAGAGGATTTATTTCCATTTTTCATTTATGCAAATTACACTCTGAATAAATAAATCTACATAATCCACCTCCCTGCTAGACAACTTGCAGCAACATTTGCCAAGGGAAAGACAAGCTTTTCTGATACTAATGCATAAAACATGCTGAATAAAAAAATTAAAACAAATCATATTGTGTAAATAGCTGATGTGCAACTCTAGAAAGAATAATAGAGGCACTGATGAATTACTCAGGATTGTCTTGTTCAATTATTTCTAACATGTTACCATGTTTAAGAGTATACTCTTAAACATTCTTAACATTAAGATTTTAATAGAGACAGTCATATCCCAAACCACTGAAATCTATAGGAATTTTTCCCTTTAATTTCCATGCAACAGGCATGTAGACCTCTCTGCTGAAGCACCCAATACTGTCAGGCTGTTGTTCCTGGAAAACAACTTATTCAGCAGGTAGCTGATGTGCTGTGCTGCAGCTCCAAGAAAGCAGATCTCTTATACTATTTTGGGAATGTAGGGAGTGCCTTCCCTAATTTGATCAAAACCTAATCCTTGATCCTTGTGTCCTGTGTCCATGTGAAATACAGGCCTGGTGACTGTAAAGGTTGCTGCCTGTCTTGGGACTGCCACAGGGGAAGGATCAAACAAAAATCACTGGCGGTATGTTCTTTAGAGGTATCCATGGCCTTTCCCCACTCTGACTGCATAGGGTAGACACTGAAATGCAACTCTTATTCTTTATGGTCCATCCAGAAACTATCAAACTCTGATCATACTTGGAGCTTCGACATCTTCCTGCAAATTTTCCACACTGAAAAATTTATCCTGGACAGCTGAATCCTTATGCTATTTTCCCTAAAGAATTAAAACTATTCCATGGGGCGGGGTCCCCAAAAGACTTGAGTATTATGAACTGGATCACCACATTTTTACATGCTGTGATGCTTTGTAGAATTTGAAGATATCTTTTCTCAGTGTAGAAATGTGAGTTGCTCACATGGTCCCTGGGGGCAATGAGGTGTGTGATATACAAAGCCTACAGACTGGGAGCTACATAAGGCCAGGAAGAAACCTTAAGAAAATATTAATTAATCCTGTGACTCTGCTAAGAAATCCCAGACACAAGATTGGCACTAAAACCAGTGTTTTATACCAGCTACCTGCAGGAGAATGAGCTCTTTCTATTAGCTTACTGTATAGTCTGGCTGTTAGGAACATACATGTGGGATATGGTATGTCAGACCCATCCACCACCTGCCAGGACATTCTCCTTGGTCGGCTACTGCAGACTGAGTTGCTCAGTCAGTTGAGCTCAGTCAGCTATTTGCTCTTGCAGACTGAGTTTTCTGCTTGTCAAATCTGCTCCACCATGAGTGAAAATACCTGATTATACTTTGGAGGAGTTTGATCCCCAATCAACCAGCAAACAGCCTGTTGGTTGTGACACTTGGCATTCACACCAGCTCAAATCCAGCTTGGACACAGTGGAAATCTGAAGGTAAGCCTTGTTGCTTTGCCCTCAGGGAATTTGTTCCTGCAAGGTCTAGCAGGCTGGTTTGGAGAATGCTTCAGAGATCAGGTCCTTTAGGAAAAAGAGGATGGGCTTACCTTGATGAGAGAAACACAGCATGGCAGATATCTATGCCCTTGGAGACCCTCCTAGCAGAGAGTTAAAGGGTTTGGGGAATTATAGTGATGGCTGCATTCATGCATTCACCTCCTAAAAAGGTTGGACAAGCCAGGGCAATTCCAGGCTTACAGAACCTGGGGTATTGGATTTAAACCAATGGATTTAGAGTTTTTATTTTTGAAATCATGATCAGACAGCAATCTTACAGTGCAATAGGTGAAACAAGAACCAAGCTCCTTATTTAATGACAGAACTCCAGAAACCACACATTTAAACGAACAATCAAAAAATTTGAGATTTATAAAAGGAGGAGAATTTGACACTACAGATTTTTGTGGCAACAGAAGATTAAGTTTGGCTAACTGGTGATAAAGGAATATCCACAGGTGAGAAATGCATAGGAGGCCTCACATCTGGGACTGATTCTGGTCAGACGCTACATCAGTAAGACACTGCTTCAGGAGTCCTTGATTTTCCTTGTCTCACTGTGCAATAGCTGGCCGTATTCTCTTGGGAAGTACAGATTCTTCTTTTCATGGGCACTTCCTAACCAGCAGCTTGGCACAGAAGGAAGAGAAAGAAGAGGTGGAAAGGACTCTTGCATCTTTTCTCTACAGCAGATATGCAGGGAAAGCCTATGAAACAAGTTGAGGCTGCTTCCTGCTTCAGGGATACCTGAAGCTACTTGTCCATAGGAGTTTCCAAGTTACATTCTTTCTTGGATAATCTAGGTACAACTGAGTCTCTTGTTATTCCCAGGTGTAATCCAGACTTCATACCTCAGTCAAGTTCTAGGTTAGGCAAACACTGGAGGGTTTGAAGATGAGTCTGAATAACTGAATGATCATGGATCAGTGCAAGCTTTTGATATCCACCCTATCCACTTTATGACTTTATCTTGTACTCTCTTGGAGCAATATATCTATTATTCCAAAATGCATGGCTTGCTGAAAATTCCAGCTAAATTACAACTAGATTCCACATACTGATTTATTAAACCAGCGTTTTCATAATTTCACAGATATCGTCAGTTCGTCCTTCTGTCGCAAAAAAACTGAAACGTGACCATTTGATCAGTCCTTTCACCTTGCAGAAGGGCTCATTTCCCACCTCGCCTTACCTGTGGCCTCATGCCAGAACACGCTTATGCTGGGCTGGAACTCAATGATACATGAATTCCCACACCAGCCTATTGTTGTTTCCCTGACTTTAAATCTAGGATACAGTATAACCCAGCTGTGCAAGTCATTGCCTTGTGAATCAGCTTCTCACAGAGCAAGGGAAAACATCCCAGCTCCTCCACCAAACTGGCAGTATTGTTACAAGGTGATTGCTGGGAGAGAAGCCACTGGTGCTGCCATGCACGCAAACTTGTTTAGGCTAGTAAGTGCTGAAATTTGCCTTTGTTGAAATCATCAACAGAATCTAGATTTTAGTGAAATGAACACACTTTGGAATAATAAAAACCCGTAGCATTTCTACTTTTCACGTAACAGCTCTTAGTGAATACCTTAGTCAAACACTCTCTTTCAAGCTGCTCGCTTGTTCTCTGATGTGTTGAGCAAGGAATTTAGAACATAGCAAATTAGGTCTAAGTTTCCAAGGAATCACAGAATCAATTAGGTCAGAAAAGACTTCTGGGATCATCGAGTCCAACCTATGGCCAAACACCACCTCGTCAACCAGACCATGGCACTGAGTGCCAGGGCCAGGCTTTCCTTAAACACCTCCAGGAAGGTAATCCCGTTCAGACATCTCATCACTCCTTCTGTGAATAAAGCCCTCCTAATGTGCAACCCAAACCTCTCCTGACCTTTTGAAACACTACATTTAAAAACCAAAATGGAAAAAACTCCAACACCATGACATGGAAACTAAGGACTGAAGGCTGATACTCGATAGGTTTTGCTTGCACACAAACCAATAATAAACAGACCAAAGAGAACAGAGGCGCTCAGTAGCGGCAGCGGCCTGTGCAGTTTGGTCTGACGTTGCAGGGAACGAGCTTGTTGTCCCCACAGCACTGCAGAGAGGAGCAGCAGCAGGAGCAGCAGAAGCTCCCGCGGGCTCCCTCAGCCCCGGCTCGGGCCGCGCCGGGCCCGGAGCGGCGGGCGGGGCCGGGGGAGCCGCGATCCGCAGGGCGCAGGCGCGGGCCGGAGCCGGGGCCCGGGCCCGGGCCCGGCAGCGGCGCAGGCGCGGCAGTGGCCGCGGGATCCCAGCAGGCTCGGGGCGGCGGTGCGGTGCGGGCCCAGCATGTCGGAGAAAAAGCAGCCGGTGGACCTGGGGCTCCTGGAGGAGGACGACGAGTTTGAGGAGTTCCCGGCTGAAGGTGCCGGGCGGGGGCGGCACGGGACGGGACGCCCGGACGCGACAGGCCGCGGCCTGCAGGCGGGACAGCCGCGGCCTGGGCCGGCCGGGGCGGGCGGGC